CAACCTTTACTTTTATCCACATAATTCTTGAATTTACACATTCATATTCTCTTTTCTCCTTCCATAACTGATCATTCAACATTACTGCTACACCTTCCTTTGCTCTAACTCTCTCAGATACTCCAGATTTAATCCCATTTTATTTCCCCCCACTGAAACTCCCCTACCCCCTTCAGCTTTGTTTCGCTTAGGGCCAGGACATCCAACTTCTTTTCATTCATAACATCAGCAATCATCTCTTTCTTGTCATCCGCACTACATCCACGCACATTTAAGCATCCCAGTTTTATAAAGTTTTTCTTCTTCTCTTTTTTAGTAAATGTCTACAGGAGAAGGGGTTACTAGCCCATTGCTCCCGGCATTTTAGTCGCCTCATACGACACGCATGGCTTACGGAGGAAAGATTCTTTTCCACTTCCCCATGGACAATAGAAGAAATAAAGAAGAACAAGAGCTATTTAGAAAAAAGAGAAAAACCTAGATGTATGTATATATATATATGCATGTGCGTGTCTGTGAAGTGTGACCAAAGTGTAAGTAGGAGTAGCAAGATATCCCTGTTATCTAGCGTGTTTATGAGACAGAAAAAGAAAACAGCAATCCTACCATCATGCAAAACAGTTACAGGTTTCTGTTTCACAGTCATCTGGCAGGACGGTAGTACTTCCCTGGGTGGTTGCTGTCTACCAACCTACTACCTATAAAATTATATGAAAAGATAATAATTATATATATACATAATAATCATTGCAACCCATTCAGGGGTTGCAACAGTAATATCAGAGGGGCCTGGAGATGTGACTGATGAACAAAGAAAATGTTATTTTAGAGCCAGGAATGTCTGCATTGTTCATTCTGGACCCCATTTTCAAATTGTCATATTTTTTAATTTTCGTGAAATTGGCCAAATTGCAAATTTCTGACCACATTGTTGGCTAGTTGAAATCAGTAAATGGGCAGTTTCTTGTATTCAATCGATAGAAAAAATGGAGTTCTAAAGAAACAGCTATGAGTTTGGTCGACTGGAACAATGAAATTAGCCGAAAATAGGGCTCAAAGGGGGGCGAAATCGCCAATTCGTAAATATCGCCGAGGTTGCTAACTTCACTAGAAAGTAATTCCATCAGTTTTCTATCAAATTTCATTTTTTTGGTGTCATTACAATCAGGAAAAGCTTCTCTATCATTTCATAAGATATTTTTTTTTTCACAAATTTTGCGACACCAGGAGACACCTCAGGATTTGGGGTTGCGACAGTCAAGGGGTTAAACATTGCAGCAAGGAGGTGGCTAGAGGCAATGGGAATACAACGTTTGAGAGCACTGTGTGGTGTGAACATCATGCAGAGAATTCAAAGCATAGAAATTAAAAGGTGATGCGGGTTCAATAAAGGAATACATCAGAGGACTGAGGGGTTGTTGAGATAGTCTGGGCATGAAGACAAAATGGATAGGAACAGGATAAAGAAGAGGGGGCATAAATCTTAGGGGTGGAAGGCAGGAGAAGTAAAAGTTATCCCAGAAATGATTGGAGGGTGTGAAAGAGGCTTCGAGTGTTAGGTACAATGGATCCCCGGTTATCGGCCGGTTCAGTTATCGGCCAACTCGGTTATCGGCCATTAATTCGGTTATCAGCCATTTGGGAGGCGTCCATCCGCCGACTGGGGCCACTTGCGAGTCAGTTTGGCTTTGTCTCTGGGCGAGTGAGGAAGCTTCTGCTCATTCATCCAAACATTTTGAAAATCCTTTTTTTTTGGGGTTGATTGAGTAAATGCAAATAAGCAACAATGGGCCCCCAAAAAACATTTACATAGTTATAAAAACATGCTTTCTTTTTTTAAATGCCCCGGCCGTGCCCCCCGGGGGAGGGGGGCCCCAAAAAAAAAAAAAACAAAAGTTTCTCTTTTTAAATTTAGTAATTTACACAGGAGAAGGGGTTACTAGCCCCTTGTTTCCCGGCATTTAGTCGCTCTTAAAATACGCATGGCTTACGGAGGAGAATTCGTTCCACTTCCCCAGGAGATAACAGGAAAAAAACCCAAGAAGATAAACAAATGAAAATACTGTAGAAGAAAACCCGAGGGGTGGTGGTGTGTGTGTGTGTGTGTGTGTGTGTGTGTGTGTGTGTGTGTGTGTGTGTGTGGTGTGTGTGTTGGTGTGTGTGTGGTGTTGTGGTTGTGTGTGTTGTGTGGTGTGTGTGTGTGTGTGTGTGTGTGTGTGGTGTGTGTGGTGTGTGTGTGTGTATATATATTTATATAAATATATAATATTTTTTTTTTTTTTTTTTTAAACAAGGGGCCCGCTCCCCCCGGGGCAGGGTGCCCCAAAAAAGAAAGAAAATCCCCAAAAAGAAAATACTTTCATCATATTCAACACTTTCCCCACATCGCCATTTATGTTTTTGCAGAGGTCTCAAAATCAACAGTCAGAAGCAAAAAACATATAAAGATACAAAAACAATCCTCAAAATGCCAATACCCAAACCCCTCCTTTGTGCAGGTTGTACTTCCCATTTCCAGGGCTCAAGTCCGACTATATGAAAATTAACCGGGTTTCCCTGAATCCCCTTTACTAAAAATTTTCCCTGCCACCTCCAAAGATGTCAGGTCCCAAGTACCATTTGTCTCCCTTCACTCCTATCTAACCGCTCACGCACCTTTCTGGGAAATCCAAACCCCCTTTAAAAAAAACCTCCTTTACCCCCTTCTCCCAAACCCCTTTTGAGGCGACCCCCACCCCGCCTTCCTTTCCCCATAGATTTTTTGCTTTCCATGTCATTCTACTGTGATCCATTTTCTCTAAATGACCAAACCACCTCAACAACCCCCCTTCTGCCCTCTGACTAAAACTTTTATTAAATCCCCCCTTTTCCTAATTTCCCACTCCGAATTTTTTGCATAATATTTAACCCCACATTGCCTTTTAAAAGGACTCTCCGTGCCTCCAACCGTCTCCTCGCTGTGCATTTTCCACCCCAAGTTTACACCCTATAAGAGTGTTGGTACCTATACTTCATACATTCCCTTTTTTGCCTCCAAGAAAGTTTTTTTATCCACTATACCTCAAGCACCCTCACCTTTTTTTCCCCCATCAATTCTATGATTAACTCATCCTTTTATAAATCCATCCGCCGACACGTAATCCCCCAAGTATCTAAAAAAATTCATTCTTCCATACTCCCCCTCCCCAATTTGATACCCAATTTTTTTTATTAAAAACATTTGACACCCTATCACCTTTTCTCTTTTCATGCACCAACTTTCTACCTTTTAACACTTCCAAACTCATCCACTAACCTTTGCAATTTTTCTTTGAATTCCCCTAAGCCAGTATCATCAGCAAAAAGTAAAATGTGTCAATTCCCCTTTTAATTTGATTCCCATAATTTAACCCACCCCTCTCCCAAACCCTAGTTTCTTCCTTTACAACCCATCTAAATAGTAACAACCATGTGACATTACACATCCCTGTCTAAGCCTACTTTTACTGGAGGAAACCTCCTCAACAACTAACCTAAGCCACTTACCCATATAAAACTTCTTTCAGCATTTAAAACTTACCACCTATTCCCACTGCACATCTGCCAAAAAACTAAAAAATTTATCATTGCTTTTTAATCCATAAATGCATAAAACTTCCCTTATAAAATTATATAATATATATTATATATAATATATTATAAAAAATTTGATTATTAATATAGATAATATATTTTAAAATAATATAATCTAATATAAAATATTATAATAATATATAATATTATTTATTATTATATTATTTTTATATATTATTATATATTTGTATATTATTTATTTTTATATATTATAATATATATATATATAATATTATATATATATATATATATAATGCTTTGGCATGCTTGTACATGTATGTGCAGTGTGACCTAAGTGTAAGAAGAAGTAGCAAGACATATCTGAAATCTTGCATGTCTATGAGACAGAAAAAAGATACCAGTAATCCTACCAACATGTAAAACAATTACAGGTTTCCATTTTACACTCACTTGGCAGGACAGTAGTACCTCCCTGGGCAGTTGCTGTCTACCAACCTACTACCTAGGATGCAATGTTTATATGCGATGTATATTTAATAATTTTTCTAGGTAGTAGGTTGGTAGACAGCAACCGCCCAGGGAGGTACTACCGTCCTGCCAAGTGAGTGTAAAACGAAAGCCTGTAAGTGTTTTACATGATGGTAGGATTGCTGGTGTCTTTTTTCTGTCTCATGAACATGCAAGATTTCAGGTACATCTTGCTACTTCTACTTACATTTAGGTCACACTACACATACATGTACAAGCATATATATACACATCCCTCTGGGTTTTCTGCTACTTTCTTTCTAGTTCTTGTTTATTTCCTCTTATCTCCATAGAGAAGTGGAACAGAATTCTTCCTCCGTAAGCCATGCGTGTTGTAAGAGGCGACTAAAATGCCAGGAGCAAGGGCTAGTAACCCCTTCCCCCCTAAGGGGAAGTGTTGTACCAAAATTTTTTAAAAAATGACTCATGTATATAATTACTAAATTTGAAAAGAGAAGCTTTGTTTTCCTTTTTGGGCACCTCTCAGTGGGATATTCGCCGTTGTTGAAAGAAATTTAAAATTATAACTGTACATTAAATTCTTATTTACGTTAATTATAGAAATTTCATTAACCCTTTGACTGTTTCCGACATATAAATAATACGTCTTACAGCCAATGTTTCTGACGTATTTATACCACAAATTCTAGCGGCTTCAAATTCAAGACAAGCGGGAAAGGCATGGTAGCCCACATGAAGAGAATGGGTCTCCATTGGTCGTGTGCACCCTGTGAAAAAAAAAATCTGAACCCAGCGTGCATTGTGGGAACGCCATGTGTTAGTCCATTTTCACCATGCCTCTCGTAAAAGTTCCTCACTAGTCCTTGGCGGATAGAGTTTTTGTTCCCAAGTGATTAGCTCTAACAGCGATGAACATGTCAGTGACATTGAATTTCCAGGTTTGAAGTGAGTGTTTACCAGAAAAAGTGCGCGCAGGATAATGTAATTAGTGATGAAAATCCCAGATGCCCCACAACCCTCCCACCTCTGGTGCTAGGGCCGCTTGTTACGTTCACGTTCGCCTGTACCTGGACGAAAGATGAAACATTTGGTCGTGTACAACACCTATATGTTAGCATGATTTCAAGGTCACTGAAAGCAGTTTCCTAGAGACCGTGAAGTGAATATTCCACAGGTGAAGCGGCAGTATGTACGACGTAGCATGCGGTCTGTAGTGTTTCATATTGTTCCAAGGGGAGAGAAAACTCTGGAGCACATCCTGTGGCACTACACCACGACCTGATAGTGGACGATGACGATATTGTAAGCGATGGTGTGTAATGAGTGAGTTGATGGAGCAGGCAGTGGGGTGATGAGTGAAGGGGTGGCACGCCCATGTGGCACCATCAGCGGCCACGCTACTACCACACTCAGCTGGCTCTGTTCTGCACAACAACCAGCCTCACCCTCCCCCACACTGCCCTACAAACCTGCCACCACGCGACAAATCTGCACAACCACAACCTGCACAACCACAAGCCTACGGACAATATCCATACCCACACCAGCAGACCGCATCTGGGATTGGCAGGACGGTGAACTAGTTTTGTTCCAGTCCCCATGACATTGATGAAAGCACAAAGTGAATAAAGCCATCTTGCCACTTGGAACAATGCAGTGAACTGGACTTGCTTTGAGTTTTTCTTCGATGAACCCCTGAGGACATCATTTTCAGGGAAACGCACAAAAAACACATACAGGATACACCATTGGCAAATCAATTCTCTTCTCACCAAAATCACGGCTACACAAGTGAAGGAGAAACTGAGGCATGAGATTTTTTACCCAAATGGTTTTATTTTGCCACACTAATGCTTATGCCACATGTGCATAACACACTGGTCACCACATACTGGGCAACAGAGCGCCAGATTTTCAACTCCAGGTTTTAGTGACATTATAGTGCAATCGTTCCTGGGATTACCTGTTACTTATGTTACACTTTTTCATACAAAACCAGGCCTGACCGAAGCGACAGGTATATAAGATACATAAAATGAATTTAGTACCAGAAACAAAATGTTGCATGTATTTTATCCCTTCAGGACGCTTGTTATTGATAAGATCCTTGATTTATTCAAAGGAAGAACTCTGCATCAAGCAATATAAACCAATCAAGAGAAACGCTTTGGTATAAAGCTATTTGTACGTGTGATCGCAAAAGTGTCTAGTTTTGGATATCATAGTGTACACTGGCAAGTATATACCTTGAGAGATACCATGAGGTTATTGGGTAACTCTTGGTGATGTGTTCGATACAATGATGGAACTATATCTTGGTAAGGGGCATATGTTATTTACTGAATAACTGTACACAAGCCCTTACTCATGATTACATTGCGAGCGGAACTTGACAGACGTGTGTGCACAGTGCGTCGTTAATCTTAAACATATGCCAAGTTGCGACCGCTGTCACACGCAGAGGTGAGGTGGCAAGCCTTTGGCTGCCAATGAAAATCATGGCATTTCGGTGGCATGACAAACGTGATGTCACATTGTTGACATCATTCACAGAAACGAAATGGTACCCATGGCAGGGACAACAGAGAGACCAATGAACCCATTCTAAAGCCTGCAGCTGTCATGGACTACAACCTCAATATGCGCTTAGTGGACAAATGTGACATGCAGATTGGGTTTGCAGACTGTGTACGCAAGAGTTATAAGTGGTATATAAAAATTTTTTTCCATCTTGTTGATATCTCTATGCTAAATGCTTATAACATATACAAGTTGAAAACCAACAAAACACCAAAATATGGTGAATTTTGCCTGTCAGTAATCAGACAAATAATTGCAAAGTACCAAAGAGCAACTCCTGCAATAGACCAGCGCCCACACACGTCATCTCGTTTCAGGCCTGGTGATCACTACCCCATACAACTGCCTCCTACTACTGCCAAGAAAAATGCTCAGAAGAGGTGTTATGTATGTATGCATACCACAAAACGCCCACAAACACGCAGAGACACTCGTTTTATGTGTGAGGAGTGTGAAGTGCCCCTCTGCATATACCCATGTTTCAAAGAGTTCCACAAGCTGCAGCAGTTCTAGGAACGTGTTTAGTGACTGTACATATGTATATATATTATGGAACAATAGTAAAAAACATTGTTTTGTATTGTTTGTTTGTGTAAACAAAGTGTATACAAACTAATAGTGATAAAGTTTGTTCTGTTATTGTGTTGTAAACAATGAGTGTATATTTGAAGAATGCACCTTACATTGGTCTCACAGGCCACATAAGTTACCTGGAACAGAAAAATATTGAAAAATGCAAGAAACCTTTGAATTAGAGTAAATAAAAGAATACCGGGTGGGCGGCAGTCGCCGCTGTTGCCGTACGCACGTCACTTTCTGTAAACTTTGCGGCTCTATATCTCGGTAAGTACTGATGGCAAAAATTTTTTATTAGGCTTTAAACACTCACAAAAATATTCCTAACATTTTCTTAAGAAAAAATAATTTTTTTTTTCGAATATTTGGCGACAGAATGACAGTTTCAGAGAGGGGCCTGAAACAGTCAAAGGGTTAATCCATCTATTATATCTTCTTTAAAATTATATAAGAAACATGTTACATAGCATATAAACATGCAATGTTTATTATATGCGATATATATTACATAATCACTCTTTGCCACATTAAATGTCTTATTTTATGTTAATATAGACATTTTCATTAATCCATCAATGATATTTTCTTCAAAATTATTTAAGAAACACGTTACATATCATGTAGCATATAAACATAGCATATAAAAGTGCAATGTTTATATGTTATCGAGTGGAGAGTGGGATGGAGAGTAAACATTACATTTTCTCTGATGTAGCATTAGAGAAAACTGTGAATCTGGCGACTGGTGCAGTAACCCCCCCTCATATGCGTTTGTTTACAATTCTTGGCATGAATTATTCATCACTTCTCCCTTTGTTTATGATGGCATCTAAAGGTAGTTGTTAGAAATTATTAAACTCAGTGAACATGGTAATAATATGGCTGTGTAGTGTAATAATATGGCAGTGTAGTGTAAAAATATGGCTGTGTAGTGTAGCCCGGGGATGGTAGGGGGGGGCTACATATGTGTACTGTACCTACATCTACTGCTACCTACAATGACTTCCTACAAATAAATACTACTCACCTCTTGCCCTACATTAAGACTACAAATATGTATTTTAAGGTTAGTAATGAATAAACTGTAACAGTAAATGATAGATTAAAGAGGTGTGTGCAATGTGGACTAGGGTGCAAGCTTTTGTAGAGAAGCACCACCCTGACCAAACTGAAGCCATATCTGCAACATGTTTAGTGACAAAACCCTGTCCCATTTCAGGGAAATCTTAAAGAGATGCCAGAAACAGACCTCTATGGACAGATTTGTTGTGAGACTGGGGTCCAGTGACTCTCAAGCTGGTCATTGTAGCATTAAAAGACAAAGAATGGAAGTAACCCCAGAGAAGGCTTTGCTACCTAAAGTCTTTATGAAGGGGGATTCCCCTTCCAAACACTAACTCCTCTCTCTTTCCTCTTCCCTATCTTCCAGAAGCCAGCATTAGCCTTCAATAAAGGTATGTAAAACTTACATAATTGTTAAAAAAATATTTTTTTTGTGAATATTTTTGTCTGGAACGGATTAATTGTATTTCCATTATTTCTTATGGGAAATATTAATTAGGTTTTCGGCCATTTCGGTTATCAGCCGACCATCTGGAACGGATTACAGCTGTTAACCGAGGGTCCACTGTACTTGAGAATCCAATAGCTTGTGTGTGTTAGACTAGGAGTGAATAGAAACAAGTGGTTATTAATGGCTGTGCTGTTGGAGTATGAGCAAGGTAATTTTTAGGAAAGATTTCAGGAAACCTGGAGGGATGAGCAGCAATTACAGTCTAAAAAGGGGTGAGGATATTGGAGTTAGAGGGTAATCTTAAGTGTAATAACAGTACATTTCTAGAAAGACAGAAATTCAATGAAAGATGGTGAATGCGTTTCCTTTTTGTTTTGGGAAGGGTCACCCTAGCTTGGTGGAAAATATCCAATAAGGTAAAAAAAAAAATTAAGACTCACTTGATAGGATAATCAGATTCACTGAGGTTAATGATGAAGTCCCAGTTCCAGCTTTTAATCAGTAGCACTTGCTTCATACAGTGGAGAAGTATTGTGAGGAGAGACGCACCACCCCAGATGGTCGAGAGCCGGTACCGAGACACTTGTATATTGCTGAAATGATCCTCAAGCCGCAACACCTCTCGGAACAGGTAGTCCTGACGCTGAAGCCAATTAATAAATGCCATTATAAGGACAAAGAAATGCATTTACATGAACAACTGAAACTTGTAGCTGAGAATTTAAGTGATAATCAGTATTACAGGTACGTCTTGTTACTTCTACTTACACTTAGGTCACTCTAAACATACATGTACACGTTTATTTATACACACTCATTTGAGTTTTTTTTATTTTATCTTAGTTCTTGTTCTTATTACTTTTCCTTTTATATCCATGGGGAAGTGGAATCAGAATCTTTCCTCCATAAGTCATGCGTGTTGTAAAAGTCAACTAAAATGCTAGGAACAATGGGCTAGTAACCCCATTTCCTGTAATAATTACTAAAAAGAATAAGAAGAAGAAACATGTCAAAGTGGGAAGTCCGAATGTGTGTGGATGTTGTGTGAATAAGAAAGAGATGACTGTGGATGTTATGAATGAGAAGAAGCTGGATGTCCTGGCTTTTTAAGTGAAACAAAGCTGAAAGGGGTGGGTGAGTTTCAGTGGAGAGGAATAAATGGGGTCAGGTCAGAGGTTTCAAATAAAGTTAGAGCTAAAGGAGTAGCAATAATGTTGAAGGATAAGATATGGCAGGAAAAGAGGGGTTATAAATGTATTAATTCAAGGATTATGTGGAGTAAAATAAAGTTTGGATGTGAGAAGTGGGTTATAGTAAGGGTATATGCACCTGGGGAAGACAGAAGTATAGAGGAGAGAGAGAGAGATTTTGGGAAATGTTGAGTGAATGCGTGGGGAGTTTTGAACCAAGTGTGAGAGTACTTGTCGTTGGGGATTTTAATGCTAAAGTGAGTAAAAATGTTTTGGAGGGAGTAGTAGGTAAATTTGGGGTGCCAGGGGTAAATGAAAATGGGGAGCCTTTAATTGAGCTATGTGTAGAAAGAGGTTTGGTAATAAGTAATACATACTTTATGAAGAAGAGGACAAATAAATATACAAGATATGATATAGCACATAATGAAAGTAGTTTGTTAGATTATGTACTGGTGGATAAAAGGTTGATGGGTAGGCTCCAGGATGTACATGTTTATAGAGGGGCAACTGATATATCAGATCATTATCTAGTTGTAGCTACAGTTAGAGTAAGAGGTAGATGGGACAAGAGGAAAATGACAACAACAAGTAAGAGGGAGGTGAAAGTGTATAAACTAAGGGAGAAGGAAGTTCGGGTGAGATATAAGCAACTATTGACAGAAAGGTGGGCTGGTGCAAGTATGAGTAGTGAGGGGGGTTTGAAGAGGGTTGGAATAGTTTTAAAAATGCAGTATTAGAATGTGGGGCAGAAGTTTGTGGTTATAGGATGGTGGGTGCAAGAGGAAAGAGGAGTGATTGGTGGAATGATGAAGTAAAGGGTGTGATAAAAGAGAAAAAGGTAGCTTATGAGAGGTTTTTACAAAGCAGAAGTGTTATAAGAAGAGTAGAGTATATGGAGAGTAAAAGAAAGGTGAAGAGAGTGGTGAGAGAGTGCAAAAGGAGAGCAGATGATAGAGTGGGAGAGGCACTGTCAAGAAATTTTAAAGAAAATAAGAAAAATTTTTGGGGTTAAACAAGTTAAGAAAGCCTAGGGAATGAATGGATTTGTCAGTTAAAAACAGAGTAGGGGAGTTAGTAGATGGGGAGATGGAGGTATTGGGTAGATGGCGAGAATATTTTGAGGAACTTTTAAATGTCGACGAAGAAAGGGGGGCGGTAATTTCATGCACTGGCCAGGGAGGTATACCATCTTTTAGGAGTGAAGAAGAGCAGGACGTGAGCGTGGAGGAGATGTGTGAGGCATTACGTAGAATGAAAGGGGTAAAGCAGCTGGAACTGATGGGATCATGACAGAAATGTTAAAAGCAGGGGATGGGGGGATATAGTGTTGGAGTGGTTGGTATTTTTGTTTAATAAATGTATGAAAGAAGGGAAGGTACCAAAGGGATTGGCGGAGAGTGTGTATAGTCCTTTTATATAAAGGAAAGGGGGACAAAAGAGATTGTAAAAATTATAGAGGAATAAGTTTACTGAGCATACCAGGAAAAGTGTACAGTAGGGTTATAATTGAAAGAATTAGAGGTAAGACAGAATGTAGAATTGCGGATGAGCAACGAGGTTTTAGAGTGGGTAGGGGATGTGTGGATCAGTGTTTACATTGAAGCATATATGCGAACAGTATTTAGATAAAGATAGGGAAGTTTTTATTGCATTCATGTATTTAGAAAAAGCATATGATAGAGTGGATAGGGGAGTAATGAAGCAGATGTTGCAAGTAAATGGAATAGGTGGTAAGTTGCTAAATGCTTTAAAGAGTTTTGATGAAGATAGTGAGGCTCAGATTAGGGTGTGTAGAAGAGAGGAAGACTACTTCCCAGTAAAAGTAGGTCTTAGACAGGGATGTGAAATGTCACCAAGGTTGTTTAATATATTTATAGGTGGGGTTGTAAAAAAAGTAAATGCTTGGGTGTTCGGGAGAGGCGTGGGATTAAATTATGGGGAATCAAATACAAAATGGGAAGTGACACAGTTACTTTTTGGTGATGATACTGTGCTTATGGGAGATTCTAAAGAAAAATTGCAAAGGTTAGTGGATGAATCTGGGAGTGTATGTAAAGGTAGAAAATTGAAAGTGAACATAGAAAAGAGTAAGGTGATGAGGGTATCAAATGATTTAGATAAAGAAAAATTGGATATCGAATTGGGAAGGAGGAGTATGGAATAAGTGAATGATTTCAGATATTTGGGAGTTGACATGTCAGTGGATAGATTTATGAAGGATGAGGTTAATCATAGAACTAATGAAGAAAAAAAGAGTGAGTGGTGCATTGAGGTATATGTGGAGACAAAAAATGTTATCTATGGACGCAAAGAAGGGAATGATTGAAAGTATAGTAGTACCAACACTCTTATATGGGTGTGAAGCTTGGGTTGTAAATGCTGGAGCAAGGAGGCGGTTGGAGGCAGTGGAGATGTCCTGTCAAAGGGCAATGTGTGGTGTAAATATTATGCAGAAAATTCAGAGTGTGGAAATTAGGAGAAGGTGTGGAGTTAATAAAAGTATTAGTCAGAGGGCTGAAGAGGGGTTGTTGTGGTGGTTTCGTCATTTACAGAGAATGGATCAAAGTAGAATGACATGGAGAGTGTATAAATATGTAGGGGAAGGAAGGCGGGGTAGGGGTCATCCTCGAAAAGGTTGGAGGGAGGGAGTAAAGGAGGTTTTATGGGCGAGGGGCTTGGACTTCCAGCGTGCGTGAGCGTGTTAGATAGGAGTGAATGGAGACGAATGGTATTTGGGACCTGACGAGCTGTTGGAGTGTGAGCAGGGTAATATTTATTGAAGGGATTCAGGGAAACCGGTTTTTTTATATAGCCGGACTTGAGTCCTGGAAATGGGAAGTGCAATGCCTGCACTTTAATGGAGGGATTTGGGATATTGGCAGTTTGGAGGGATAGGTTGTGTATCTTTATACGTATATGCTTCTAAACTGTTGTATTCTGAGTACCTCTGCAAAAACAGTGATTATGTGTGAGTGAGGTGAAAGTGTTGAATGATGATGAAAGTATTTTCTTTTTGGGGATTTTCTTTCTTTTTGGGTCATCCTGCCTCGGTGGGAGATGGTCGACTTGTTAAAAAAAAAAAAAAAAAAAAAAATAATAATAATAATAATAATAATAATAATAATAAGTTTTGAATTTCAAATTAATAATTAGATTACTCACAGAATCCACATGGATGAAGAAGAAGTGGTCCTTGTGATACAGAGCTTTAACTAAACGCTTGAGCTGTCTTATGGCTCTGCCGTTGACTGTCAAGATAAATGCTATTCTCACGGGGGCGTTGTTGCCTGCTGATGAATGTCCCTTAAGTGCAGAAGGGACATACTCTGTAATGAATCATAAACAATGTACCCCACTCCAAACTAAAGCACTGAACAGTACAAAAAGATACTAAAAAATGTGTACAAAGGCACTAAAAGTCAACTTACACAAAAGTAAACAAGCTGAAATACTTAAGGTTAAGAATATACTAGTGCTACATGTTTAAAATTTGGATATGTTATATATCTATATATGCTTCTAAACTGCTGTATCTGGGCACGTCTGCAAAGACAGTGATTATGTATGAGTGAGGTGAAAGTGCTGAATGATGATGAAAGTATTTTCTCTTTGGGAATTTTCTTTCTTTTTGGGTCACACTGCCTCGGTGAGAGATGGCCGACTTGTTGAGAAAAAAAAAGAAGAAGAATGTGAAAAGAAAGGATATAAGAACAAAACACTAAAGAGAAGGATGTGTGCATAATAAGTGCAACTAAGATAAAATGTTACTAGCTAACCAAAAATTACTAGTGTGAAAAGATTTATTTTTATTTTTGTTTTAAGGGGCCCTGAAGGTTTCGGTGCACGGAGTAAAAAAAATATTGAAAAAATACAAAAACTGAGTCATTCTCACCAAAAAAAAAAAAAAATAGCTGAACTTTCTGGCAACACTCTGGTATAATTATCATCATTACATGATGCTTCTACAAGGAATTATAGTCATTTATAACATGGATGGTGACAGCGCCTTGAGTAGCAGGCGAGTTGACACAGCATTTTTTTTCCTTCAGTAGCATGCGAGTTGACACAGCATTTTTTTTTCCTTCAGTAGCATGCGAGTTGACACAGCATTTTTTTTTCCTTGAGTAGCATGCGAGTTGACACAGCATTTTTTTTTCCGTGTTGTTTTATCATTTTCTTGTATCTTTATGTTTAATAAAAAAACAAATTCACCATTTGAGAGCAAAGCAGAGTAGGTGCGGCTAATATGGTCTAGGAACCAATCAGGGGCATCCCCTGGGAATAGTGCTGACATGGCGGACACACACCAGCCAACAAAATATTCTATACTCACGCTAATATCAATTATAAGGCTTATTTACCTATCACAATTGATCTAATGTGACATAAGGCGATATAATAATAGCATAGAAACATAAAAAGTACGCTAGAACAAATAATATTTTTTTATTTTTTTATTATCACACTGGCCGATTCCCACCAAGGCAGGGTGGCCCGAAAAAGAAAAACTTTCACCATCATTCACTGCATCACTGTCTTGCCAGAAGGGTG